AAAAGCGCTTTGCTGCTAAAGAACAAAACATGGAGCAGGTTCTGCAAGTCAAAGGGATGACCAGCATGCAAAATAGTGTGGTATCTTTGTGAATTAATTTTATTTTTTTAAATAAACATTATCTAAAAGACAACTTATTTCTCATTTTTTTTCCAGTGGAAAGACTTTAAAAAAATTTACTGTTTACTTTTTTATGTATAAAACTTAAGCAAAATTTCCTTTCTGCTCTTAATAAATAAGACTTCTGAGAGCAACAGTTGTTTTTATATGTGTCTGTTGCTCTATCCTGCTGGTCAAGTACCTAAATTTATGAAGTGCAATCCTGCCTGCTGTTTAGAAAGCAATTTTCTAACATTTGACTTGTGTATAGTACTGCCACTGCAGGGTTTCTAAGAGCTTTCTGTACTGTCCTTAATAGAGGCTTTAGCAAGTGAAGTGCTGCTGGCATTTGTTTCAAACCCTGAATAAGGTGCCTCAGTTTGCTGTGCAGTGCACAGAGAGCCCTTCCCAAAAATGTTTGCCTGTGGCCATCAGGGAGCTGCTTGGGGACAGTGGGAAATGCTATGACCCTAATGGCTGAAATCATAGCCCTGTAACCCCAGAGCATCTCAGGAGAGTAGGGAGATGGTCTGGTAGGACCAGCGGGCTAGGGAGAAGTCTACTGGGATTCCAGAGCTGCAACAGTCCTGAAGATACTTCCGTATGTGTCTATTTCCAGAGCACTGAGCACACTTCACTTTAAGAATGATAGAACTATAAGAACAATAAATCAAAACACCACTTGACTACAGGAAGTGGTGACATGTATTTCCTGTAGTGCCCTAGTGTTTAGAAAACATGCTTGGGAAGTGCAAGAGAAAATTCAGTTCCTTCCTGAGTCTTGAGAGCTTCTAAATGCCTTTTTCCGTCTCCGGGGGAGAGTGCCTGGTGCCATGGCTATCTTGGACAGGAGGGAGTCTTCTGTGCACTCTGTCCGGGGAGAGAGCACACAAGGAGCATGGCTTTGCTTTTGGTCTTGTAGATTCTGCAGCCCAAGGAGTCTTGGGTTCCTTCCTGCAGGATGATGCAGTTTCAACAGAAGTGAGTTGAAGAGCCCCTCTTGTGAGAGCCCACTTGGGAAATGGGATGCTAGGGCAGGAGGAAACTTCTGCAGGATGAGGAGAAAAGCCTTAAGGAAGGTTTCTGTGCCTTCCTGGAGGCACATGGAGGAGTCCTAGAGCTAGTCCTAGAGATATCTTATGGTGAGGACTCTTCTGAAGATCTGGTGGATCTGTACTGGAGTTACCCAAAGGGGCTTCTGCCATATGGAAACCTTTGGGAGAGTTTGGTTTCTGTACCCTGGCTGTGACTGTGGCACTGCTGTTCAGTGTCCTGGAAATGTTAAGGTCCAAGTGCCTCTAAACTATGAACACCTCCAGCATGAGGTAGTAGCTTATTCTTCAACATCAACTTTTTTTATGTAAGTTTAGTTAACCATATTTAAACAGCTCTGTCCAGCTATGGGAAGGGTTGATTTGGATAGTCCAACTTGTATTGCTGCTTTTCAAGGGGGGAGCAAGGCGAAGTGCAAGACTGGAATAATTTTAAGGCTCTCGGGGCTTGTTTTTCATGATCCACTTGTTTCTATTCAAAACCCAGGAGCTGAGAAAGTCCATCCCTAGAGTGTAAATGGTCGTCCAAGATGCCATTTCTATCCCAGTTAAAGTATTGGTATTATCAGGACATAATCCTCTGATAAGTTACTGGCTGTCATCCAAGTTGTGGAAAGTGGCACTGTGGATATAGGTATTGTATAAATGCCTGTGACAAAATAATGGAATAAATTACTCCTGGTGCTTGCACATTACAATGCTGTTTTGTTTGTAGGTTATCTGAGATATGTATGTAGACCAAAGGCTGGGTGAGGGAACAGAATTAGTGAGTAAATCATGCTTTTTTTTATGCTCAGCCTGATCTTGTGAGATGCTTTTTAAGCTTTCTGCTGCATTTGGCGGGCATAGCTTTAGCAGCAGTGATCTGTTGGAACTTTAAAAACAAACAAACAAACAAAAACGCCCCAAAACACAGAAAACAATCAGCTCAATTTGAGCAAGTCTAGTAATACCCTAATACTACCCCAGCGAGGTGGGAGTTCCTGCATGGTGGCAGAATATTGCCTCTTTTTTAAATAGTAAAGATGTTCCCAATGTTTAGGCAAGGAACATACAGGAGAGAAGCGCAAGGCCTCCAAAGGGCCCTGTTTTCCTTTAATCTAAGTGTCTCAAACTTTATTTCCTACAACTGTTTTTCTCTTCATGCCCTCCTACCCTGCTTGTGCCAGGTATGTCCTGCTGTGCCCAGTGTTTGACTTGGGAACAGAGTTTAATCCAGAGAGCAGGAGATGAAGACTGCAGCAGTTTACAGAGGTTACAGCCAGGTGGAGAAACCATCTGAAGTAGGAGCTGTGTCTGCCGTTGCACTGGAGCAATCTGAAAGCACTTAGCAGCAACGCCTGCGTTGACCTCGGTATGTTGAACGTGCTGGGGAGAATTTGGTGGCGCCGAGGCCAGCTGGCGCACACCGTACCGTGAAACTTATCTCCTGAACGAGGCAGCTGCACAGCAGGGACCAGGCTGTGAATCAGAAGTGATTCCTGAGCTGACTCCCAAGCTCCGCCTGGGAATTGTTTGTACGAGCGTTAGTTGGCTAATACTAGGCCGGGAAGTATGCTAGCAATTTAGCAGAATAAATGAGCACTTTCCAGTTCCGGGAAACATTCCCCGGTGCTGTTTTATTTACTCTTCCAGACTTGGATCAAGTGTTAGGCAGATCCTGAGCAGGGGGAATTGGAAGAAGGATTTAAAGTGATGCTGTGAGATTTGCTGGTGCCCCACAATGTGACCTGAGTCTAGCTGGATGTGTCCCTGCTGCTAACGCACAGCAGCTGAGTGTCTGCAACAGCAAACAACGTGCTCAGCCATAAGCAGCTGGTTTAAGAAAAGCAAACTGAGCTCCAAGAAGAAATAAATAGGGTAATTTTTCTTCAGCGTCTGCCCTGACTTTCAGAACAGTGTCCTTCCTTCGCCAGCCTGGATCAGTCGCTGGACTGTGCGTGCTTTTTTGCGATATCCAGGCTGTCTACCTGCAGCCAAGAAATGGAGAGTGTTAAAAGCTCTTGCCGGATGACACCAGCCTGCTGAGTAAACTAATGTGGCAATAGCAGGGTATTTTCCAATGTCAGGCCAGCCCAACTCCAGATGCCTTTAAAAAATGCTGCTCCGGAGCAGTATCAGTCACGCAGGGCTTAGGAAAGAAGGAGCAAAGCTCTTCATAAAGCTGTAAAGCTTTTCTCCTGGAAAGCTTGAGCAACCACAGATGATAAACTCCAGTCCTTTATGTGACTTGCAATTCGTCCTTACTAAGGAGCTACCTTTAAAGCCAGGGCTTTTTTTAGATGAGATGGGTTGCACTTTGCAACCAGAAAGATCAGCATCTTCTCTGGAGAGCAGTGGGCAAACAGGGGAGAGGGGACAAGCAGTCTTTTCAAAAGGGAAGACCCTTGGCTCCCTTTACCGCTTTTTGCAGGTAGGTAGACTTTTCTTGAAATGAAAAAAAAAAAAACACAGAAAGAAAAATCAAATAATCTTTAATTTCCTGTAAACTACCCGTAGCCTTTTCTCTACCCAGAAGGGGAAACTTGTGGAACCAGGGAAGATATTTACAGTGCCCAAACTCTCTATTTTTCACCCAGCAGTTCCCGTCCTCCCCCAACACACATAGGGTTTGAGCAGACTAAACAATTTTCTTTTGCTGTGGCTGGAAAGTTTCAGTTTTGTTCACAGTTTCTACACTCCGCACAGTTCTTTCTCCCCATCCCGTCTGTGCATGGCTGCACACACGCAGTTATTTCTTAAATAAATGTTCTTTTCATCTGCCTTGCTTTCATGTGTCGGATATTCAGCAGCTCTGAAATCAAAAGCTGTCTGGTGCCAAGCCTGATAGTATTATTTTTTGACACAAATAACTCACTGTTAACACTTGGTGGCAACTCAACTCTATGGCAAAGCAGGCAGCAACCCTGCGAGCACGGGTCGGCACTGTAATCCGGGCTGGAGGATGAAGCTCTGTCTTCCATCCTGGCAATGCCGGGGAGAAGCATCCAGCTCATCCAGGAAGAACCAGGACTACAACCGGCACCAGATTTCCGTCCTATAATTCGGTACCCACATGAAGGCGTTTGGAAAGGGAGAGGACCATCATCTTCCTTTGAAGCTGCTGTAGGCGTCACCTTTCAGGCAGTAGCAGGATGAAGTGGAAGGTTTTAAGGGTGGTTGGACCCCAAGCCAAGGAAAAAGGAAGGTACCAAAAAGGTTTGCTGTTGAATTTTAGCTGCTTATTCCCTTCCCAGGGCCGTCACCGCTGTTGCCCCAATGCAGTCCCGTGGCCTTGGCGGTTTGATGACAGCCCAAATAAATATTTTGGGAATATTTTGTTTCCTTCAGAGAGCCGAACAGGGAGTGTTGCTCCCAGTGGCAACAGTGAAGCAGTACCAAAACCCACTGAGATATCTGAGTTCCTGCTGCTGTTAAGTGCATCTTGATAGAAAATAGGATGAAGTAAGTGCCAATAATAGCAGCCTTGAAAATGCACCCAAGGGACCATAACTTACTGCAAAAAATATAGCTTTGCTTTAATTAATTTCCTTTTCTTTAATAGTTATTCTCCAAACCTTGTTGACCAAGTCGCCTGCTCGCTGGCTTTTCTCCATCCCTGTGCGCAATGCCGGTGGCTCCGTGTGAGCTGCCGTTTCTCCCTGTTGCTAGCAAGACTGGGGGGGAAAAGAAAATCACAGCCTGCTCGCTAGCTCTGTGCAAAAGAGTTTTTCCAGTGCAATCGTGTCCTGAGGAAAAAGTGAAAAATAAGGAAAGGGTGGAAATGAGTCTGAGGCTGCAGGCATTGGCAGTTGGATGCATCAGAGTCCAGTGTGTTCTGCTCGTTGTTGGGATGTGGGTTCAGTCTGCTGGCAGAGACCTGCTTGGCCCCAGCCCTGCTTCTCACTCCCCAGCCTTCAGGATTCCCTTCGGTGCTTCTTCTGTTCGTGGTATTCTGTTATTTTCTGCTGGAAATAGGCTGTAAGAGGAGGGCATTGCGTGAACGTGGGTATCTGGCTCATTCGTTCCTGGTCAAGGTTTGCACCCAGCAAGATCCACCGGGGAAGGAGAAAGGACCCATGGAACCCAAATGGACCCTCGCCACAGTCAGGAGCAGAGATGCTCCAGTGCCTGCTGACCTGAGCATCCTCCAGGACTGAGGAGCTGCTGTTTCAAGATGAGAGACAGACAGATCCACTTACCTTCCTGGGGGATCCTACTCTTCTCCGCTTCCTCAATAAATAGGGAGAACATGTTGGTCTTGACAAACTTCTTCACAAACCTGCGGTTGGTCTTGGAGGCGAGGGCTTTGCAGAAGGCCCGTTCCTGGAAGGCACCCCGGCCGTTCCTGCCCCACTTGATGTGTGCGGCGTAGTGGCCAACGGTACGGACAAAGAACTGCACGAAGGCCTCGGAGACAAGTGCGTTCACCTGCTCGGATGCTGGAAGAGGACATTTTGTTACAAATTAGGACCAAACACAGGCATTTTTTAAGAAAGCCACTTTGCTGAGTGTTCTGGCTATTGTCCTTACTCTGCATGTTGTTGTTGCTGTGGTGCCGGCTGAGGGACATCAACACCTCATTCTGCAGCTTGATGGGCAAGATCTCCTCTTCATCACCCACCTGCAAGGCAAAACGGGTGTTGAAGCCCTGTGGGAACTTGGTGGAGAAATTCCTTGGTGGGAACTTCCCCCTGGATGGGTGACATCAAGATTGCCCTGATGCCACGGTGTGAAAACCACTAACAATGGAGAAGGATATAGGAAAGGGACCCTTCCTAGGGACATCTAGACTAGGCAAAGCCATGTGGGGACCTACCGCCTGGAGAATCTTCCCTTCACACAGGTCAACCAGTAGAGCCTAAAAGAAAACAGCCAGCATTAGCCCTGCTGAGGCTATTGGGTTGAGACATGCAAGGAGCGCCAAGCTCCATCATCAGGGTCCAGCCAGAGCC